AGACCCCCGCCGCTGACCCACGTCGTTCCTACGGCGGCGCAACCGACCCGGCTCTGCAAATCCGCCATGTCCTTATTCCTCGTCCCCACCACCTCCAACAATACCTCCTTGCCCACGAGGAAGAAACCCATTGGCTTCTCCCAAGCGGCGTCTTTTCGTGGGCTGGGTTGCACCGCCGCCGCTTCTCAGCAGGTCTCCGTCCCCGCCGTGATTCGCTCCTCCGCGGAGTGGGGGGAGGAGAAGAAGGCGAAGGATAAGAGGAAGAAGAACAGCAACAAGAAGAAGAACGGTGGGGGCTTCAATGGCGGCTCGATTAAGATCTTGAGCGAGAGTAGAGGAGGTGGTGTCGATGGAGGTGGTTGCGTGGCGATTCCGGATGTCTGGTGCGGACCGGGAATTGGGTTCTCGACGGATGCGGTGGTCGGGGGCTCTGTTGATCCGGTCGTGTCGGGTCCTTCGAGAAGGAATCTTCCGGCGAGACGCAAAATTGATGGAGATAGGAGCAATAGTAGCAGTAATAACAATTACAATCACAGAGAGGTATCTCTCTATGCTTCCCTTCTCTGCAATATCTTCCCATTTTGTGCTTGTGTGCTCATTGAAGTGACTTCTGAACATTTGCTGGTGGACATCTGTGTTGTTATCAAGAACTTTTACTGAATCACATTGTTGCGTGTTAATGTTTCTGAGGTTGATGTCTGCTTGTTTTCTTGTGGAGTGGTTGGAACTAGTCTAGTTGAAGTGATTTTTGCCAAAAGTTTGTCTTTCTGCCATGAACAAAACTTTGCCTACAGACCCTGAAAATGAAATTACAATAACTCTGTTTCGTGTCTAATTTGGATTCGGTCTTGTCTTGAAGTGGAATGTACAGTGGCCTACTTTGGTGGAGATTCAATATTGTAAGTTTTCTTGGGTGTTTGGTCACTAGCAGTTAGGGTTGAATTGGAATAAACAAATCTGAATTTAAAAAACTTCCTTTTGGTTGGAGATTGGAAGTATTAGCATGGTTACATATTGTAGCATTGTAAAGGAACTATGAGGTTTGACGGGAGATTGTGGTTTCATTGTCTTTAGGAAATTGACTATCTGTTTGAACATTGCTGACTCAATGTTACGAATATTGGCAGTCTTCTTCTGTCCTTCCAAGGCGCTCTCCCAATCAAGAATTTCCTCCTTTTTGGGATTCAGATCCAACCTTTGTGACCTCACGCCCTGAGCCAACATTGTTCCCCAACAGACAGCATCGTCATTTTCGACACCCTTACGCCGAGGGTCTTGCTGAGGTACGATCTTTATCTGCATGGAAAATGTCAACGATTCTTCAAATTTAGTCACTTGGGTTTCGTTTATGTGACATAAGTTGTGATGGCTCCTTGTTACAAGCATCAAAACACCAGAATGGCTAGGAGTAAACTGCCACCTATAGGAACACAGTTTTTGTTTCATACTTAGTGTTATTTTTTTGCTGAAACCATGACAAGTGATATTAGCTGAATTTCTTACTTTCATGGGCAAAGCAGCTAGAGCTTTAAACTTATGAGCTCTAATTGAGCTGCTTATAAGAGCCTAGGATCTTAACATCTTGTCTCGGGTTTGAAGTGATTAGTCTCTCTGTCACTTTATGAGTCTTGCTAATGTAACACGTGCTATCTAAATTGTACCTCTGTCGAGGTTACTAATTATAAAAGTTTTGGTTTTTCGATGAACAAGCAACAACGTTAGTTTCTATGAAGCTCTGTACGAATAAAAAGCAAATATGTCCAGCTCTTCCTAGGCTCTGCCTTTGATTGCTCTTGGGACCCAACAGACATGTGATTGTAATTACTTTGACTGGATTGTCTCAGTAGTCAAGGGCAAAGACCAGGGTGGACTTTAAACCTGAGGTTTGGCTTGCGGGTTTCATCTTAATTAAGAGATCGTCTTAGAATGCCCTTTGTATGTATGTATATATCGTTTCCCACGTCATGAAGAAAACGAAAAACAGTACCGTGAGTGTAGACTTGGTTAAATTTTATCTTCTGCAGTGCAGTAAAATCTTTTGAAGGACCGTTATATTTGACTGATTCGAGAGTTGGTTCATGCAGCTAAGTCTATTTTAGATTTTCTCTGACCCTTTATTTTGCAGATTATGATGCTGCAGAATGGTTTTGTGATGGGAGGGGTGTTTGATTCACACGATCACTTCCGCGACCTGAGGCTCGATGTCGATAACATGTCATATGAGGTGTGTCTAAGAGTCACATATTGATTTTGATGTGCCATCCCATCAAAATTATATTGGAAGTAATAATGGATCTTTCTCTGTGGCTTGTTTATGCAGCAACTACTTGAGCTCGGTGATAGAATCGGATATGTGAACACCGGTCTAAAAGAAGAGGAGATAAACCGATGCCTACGAAAGATCAAACCCTCGATTTCAGATGCAGATAAAAAGTGCAGCATTTGTCAGGTAAGGCCTAGAATTGCTTATATGGATCAAACAGGCACATAAAGGGCAAATCTTTCCTCGTCTTGTGGAATCAAGAATCCATTTTTCTAGTCAAGATAGGATCACCGATGATAAACAATTCCCGGGCTTTACCTTCCAGATTTGCCAAACCAGACCAGAGTAAAGAATCATCGGTGTGCGATTAGAAAGTTCAGAACGTGAAACTGGTTTTTGTTTGACAGGAGGAGTACGGGATCGATGAAGAGACAGGTAAACTGAATTGTGGGCACAGCTTCCATGTCGAATGTGTGAAACAATGGCTGTCAAGAAAGAATGCCTGCCCTGTCTGCAAGACCGAGGCTAACCCCGTCGATCTGTAAGAAGCCCTGAATCCGTTCTTTTTTTTTCTTCGAGCTCGGATTCCGACATGCCTGAAATCTGTATTCGGTTTCCATATATGAACCTGTTTGGTTGTATAGATCTGATTTTCCCATCTCAAGTTCAGGTTGTTCATTCTTTTGTCTTTGGAGGTTTGAATCCTCCTCCAATGTGACTTTCCAACAGTTTTATGCTCTGCTACTTCTTTTCTTCTGGTTTTTATTTATTTTTTACGTTTTCATGTTTTCTTTATGATTTTTATTTCCAATTCCCATAATTGCATGGATATGGTTGGTTACCTGAAAATTTTGTTGTTTTGGATTCCGAAACCGAAGAGAATAATCCACGAAAAATTAAACTTAAATCTGTGATAAAAAAAAATTGAATTTATTGTATTTTTATATCAATTTTTTGTCACCGAAAATAGACAATGATTTATATAAATTTCAGTGATAAAATAACATTATAAATAATTAAAAAGTAAACGTATTTTCATAGTAAATAAATAAAAAACACATTGATGTTTCCAATACCAAACTTAGATATATCCAAATGTTGAAAGAATATCGGATAAATATTCAAGCACCTGATTTTGAATCAATTTCGAGACAAATTCAAATAGTTTTATTTTTTTATAATAATTTTGACAATCCCTGCTTCAAACCCAGAATTCCAATCATATGGATTGGGCTATAATTTACGATTATCAGTATTGGGTTTGGAAATGATTGGGTGAACTAAAATGTCATGATATTATATAATATTATTAATAATAATAAATTTTTGAACAAAATATTAGGTACATTTCAACATTATTTTCGTACGGCGCAAAACTGACAACTCTGTCGTTGATCTGAAAAAAAAAATGATCTTTTTGACGTATTGACGAGAGTCTTCGACACGGAAGACACGACAACATTCGTTTTCCGACAATTCCTGCCATTGATTCCAATAAACACTAAAAAAAATCTCATTTTTTTAATATGACGAGAATTAGGGTTTGTTTAAAATCGACTTACTATTTTAAATTATGTTAAAGTTGAATTCCATATAAAAAAAATTGAACGCACATCATTTCTTTCGAAACAAATTAATTGAGCAAGTAAATAATTTCAAAATTGAATAAAAGTAATAATTTATTTACACAATAATTATTTTTTTCAATAAATAAAAACATACACAAGAATAAATCACTTTGATATATGAGCATACACACATATATATATAACCTGTTTCATGCGTGTCTGCCTGTATTTTCTTGTTTACAGAAGATACATAATCCTATATATATATATATATATATATATGCATATATATCAGATTCCATTTACCTTTGGAACTGATGGGTCATCTAGATTTCATCGTGAAGCTCAAGAAACTGAACAATCAGAGGATACACTTCCATTGGAGCCTGCAGTGTTAATAATACACCAAAAACCACTGATTAAAAAAATAATTAACCCGAAGACATAGTTTGCTCGGTTCGGTTCATTACCGCGAGGCTTCCAATGAGATCGTAGTGACCGTAATGTGGGCCCCCCGGTTCTCCAACAACTTTGTAAGTGACCAAAGATTCTGGTATCAGCTTCACTGTCTCTGCCCACACCGACGGCGCAGTTAAAAGAATCCGAATCTGTATAACGTTTTCCGATGATGTGGAGGAGCATACCGTAAACAGCGTCAGGAGGGCAGACCGAATCTCGGTCGCCGGCAATGGCTAAGATAGGGACCGTGGATTCGCCGATATGTTCCTTGTAATAGAAGGTACCCGTTATGTCTTGCAATCCTCGGCTATCTTGAGCTGCCGTTGATAGCTGCAAGAGAAGCTTAGACGGCACGGTGCCTGCGTCATTCCAATGGAATTTTTCGATGGAAATGTTATGGAGATATTATCGTTACTCGCATAACTAAAAATAAAAGTAATCAGAATCTGATACCATGTTAAATTGTAAGAAATTGGCTTCATAACTCTCAATTCGATAATCTTTCTTTTGTCGAGTAAACTTGAGTATTTGAAAAGAGAAGTGAACTATATGGCTAATGAAAAACTTTCATCGTACTTACAAAAGTTGTTCAAGACAAGCTTTTCAAGCAGCTCGGGATTCATCATTTGAGGGGCGGAGAGCTTAGTAGTCAAGCACGACAACGCGTATGGAGGGCGGAACATGAACGGGTGAGCCATTGCGTACATAACCCCGATCGGTATGACAGAAATATTCGACGCTCGAACCGGCTCAGCCTGTACAAAACAAACGAATCATTCATTCGTTCGGTACGTTACGATCTGTTAATTACAGACAAGAACACAACATCTTAAAACCAACATGATCAAATCCTGATATATTCAGCAATGTTACGGTGATACTTACCACTAGTAACAGGTTTTTACAGAACGAGTTCGAGGAGGAATAGTCCAAAGTCGAGGCCAGAGTGGTTACAGACGCCAACCCGGTTTCCCTTCCTTCGAAACCTTTTGTAAAATGCGTCGTCATTCCCCCGGAAAATGATAAGGGCATTTCGGAAAATCTGGTTATAATGTGAATGATAACTTACTGCATTTGGAGAGCATAGCATATAACAGGTTTCCACCCATGGAGTGACCAATCGCGAGTAGTTTCCCGTCCTTTGGCTCGCTCTGATTCCTCACATACTCCATCTATAAAAGACCGGCTTTTTTCGATTATACGGTCGACATATACGTACATGAACACAACTTCAACAAAAAATGCAGAGAAACATATGCATATGCATTCACATTCCATCCATTTTCCCAAAATGGCGTTAATGAAACTAAGGACATATATATGATCAACAGAGAGGGCGCACGGTCACCTCACCGCCGATGGAACGTCTTCTTCGAGATAGTTATCGAAATCCCAGTCGTACCATGGGATGAGCTCAAGCTCTTTCTTGAAATCTTCTATTTTCTTGGTCAGCTCCAGTATTTTTGAACCTGCAGATTCTTTCTCAGGTATCCAGACAAAGGTTTTTCTTCAACATAACGATGTCTGAATTCCGAATCCACGAAAGGAGATAGTAAATTTGGAATCTTGGATCAACCTCTGTCCAGGAAAGGGTCGAACTTCTTGGATATGCTTATGAAGTTCTCCAATAGATCCGAGGCCGTTTGAAGCTGGTCATTGCTGGATGATCTCCTTCCTATATTATTTGCAGGATGAAATTTATCAAGAAAGGTTACATATTGATCAGAACGAATGTAGAATTCTCGTTGCATACGTTACGTACGGGGAATCTCATCCCTGAGTGAACTCAGCCCTACTCCACGGAGCTCAACAATCCATGTATCAAATCCTTGACCAGACATGAACCTTGCAAACGATGACTGTCATGAAAAGATTGTCATATGTATGCAGTTCAAGACCCTGCTATATATAGATCTAATGTTTTCAGGAGAGAGAGAGAGAGAGAGAGAGAGAGAGAGAGAGATGACATCAGATCCATATGCTGCAATCAAATGGTGAAATCACCTCTGGAGAAAGATCATAACCAAGAGCTTTTGTTCCGACCCCTGACAATAGCAGCAATGGATGGTTCCTCCTCGGCGCCTGTCAAATCCACGAACGTGAAAAACCTACACATACACCTATACGCACACTCTCACCGTGTATGTATGTATATACACGTACCTTGGGGGATGGAAGATATCGCCAGAGAGCGATACGCCAATCAGAGTTGGGAACAGGGGCGTAGTGGAGCTCATCCGCCGTACAGATCGCCTCCTCCGCCCTCTTTCTCCGCCATGACTCGATCCCCCGCGGCGGCGGAGCGACCCGACCGATCTGCAACGACGGCTTGGAATCTGAGCGGGAGAAGGAGGCGTTGATGGCGGGAAGCAGTGAAGAGGCGGAGCCGAGCTCGGAGAGGAGAACAGCCATCTCTTTCGATCTCCGAGAGCGGATTTCGCCGGAAAAATGGTGGTTAAAAACGTAAACTCTGATTCCCGGCCGCTTTTGTTTTTCATCTGCATGCAGAATATATGGAATGGAAATTATGCAGCAATTAATAGCACGTACGTGTGTGTGTATATATATATATATATGAAATCTTTACAGTTTCGTTACGGTTCTACTTTAAGATAACTAAATCAAAGGCCCTTTTTTCAAGAAAATATGGGAAAAGTTGTCATGCAGATGCAATGTGTCTGAGGAAGAACACACGTAACTCTTTTGTTCTGTCGGATCCCCGGAAAAAAAAAAAAGGGCTTTTCCCCAATATATTATATTATAAAGCCCCAACCACAACGACAAGTCAAGATTCTTTTCCTTCATATTTTGTTTTTTTGGTTTTCTTATTTAACAGGGGAGGAGCTATAAAATAATTCTGGTATCAAATCAGATCGAATCAAATACAATAGATATGCTTTATTTTCTTGTTGTTTGTAAATTGTAATTAAAAAAAGAATTAATTAGTTATTTCGCAAAAAAAAAGTATTGTTTTTTTTTTCATCGAATAAAAACGAGTGTGCGGCCATTCGACCACTAATATATTATATGTTAAAGAAGGGCCATCTATACATATATATATATATATATTTTTTTTTTTTAAAAGGGAGAGAGAGAACAGCGAAAGCACTTTCGTCTTCACCTCCATTTTCTTGGTTCGTCTAAACGTAACGTCCCGCTATCAGCAGCCATTTCTTACCTTTCGAAAGGCGACGCAAAAACCCTAAATTTCTTTTAGGGATCTGCAGTTTCCTTGCTTCGATTTTGCATAAGAGTTGATGGGCGATCTTGGTTTCGCCGAAGAAGACGCCAGGTGGGGAATATTATTGGACTCAATTCCGTCATTTTCGCTCTCGAATTTTGGCTTTTTTCTTTATGCAGATTCAGGGTTCTTGCCCTTCCTGTGTGTGGGTAAGACTTGAATTTGATATGGGTATTTCCGATATATCAATTTAAGTTTATGAATCTCCTCTCTTTGTAAACCATTGACGGGGATTATTGTACACGAGTAAAGTCGGAGCCTTTTCGTGTCGGGAGGGAAATTGCAATTGGCAAGTGATGTTCGCAGACGAGGGAAGGAAGAGGGTTTTTTTCTACATAAGCTTGGAAATTGATTTGGCTTTTCGGATTAGCTACAAGATTCGAGACATAACTGATCTTACCAGAGATATGTCTCTTTGTTTTTGTTGCTTTCAGTGGGTAGGAATAGTGCTCAGCAGTTTCAAACAGTTGGCCGCAAAAGCTAAAAATTTACTCCACAAAGCTTTCTTTTGTGGGCTGGAGATTTGTTTTCGTGAACTTTGTGATGCGTAAACACATGGGTTGGATTGGATGTGATCTGAATATTTTGGACAGTCAGATTTTGTTGTTTCCTTTTTTGAATGCAAGGCTGTTTTTGATAAGTGGGATGCATCTTGTAATGTTTGGTGACAGGATGGAGAATGAGACTGATGATTTGGCCTGCGATAATATCGCTGAGATCGATGTAAGTGACGAAGAGATTGATGCTGAAGAATTGGAGAGACGAATGTGGAAGGATCGTGTCAAGCTTAAAAGGATCAAAGAACAACAAAAGGTCAATGCTCATGGAGCTGAAACCAAGGAGAAGCCCAAGAAAATCTCTGATCAAGCTCAGAGAAAGAAAATGTCTAGAGCCCAGGACGGGATCCTTAAGTACATGTTGAAGCTTATGGAAGTCTGCAAAGTTCGTGGGTTTGTGTATGGTATTATACCTGAAAAGGGCAAGCCTGTCAGCGGTTCCTCTGACAATATAAGAGCTTGGTGGAAGGAGAAAGTGAAGTTTGATAAGAACGGTCTGGCAGCCATTACTAAATACGAAGAGGAATGCTTAGCTTTTGGGAAATCAGATGGGAATGGAAACTCGCAGTATGTTCTCCAAGACCTGCAAGATGCAACTTTAGGGTCTCTGCTATCTTCTTTGATGCAGCATTGTGATCCCCCGCAAAGGCGGTATCCGTTAGAGAAAGGGATTCCTCCTCCTTGGTGGCCAACAGGGAATGAGGAATGGTGGGTAAAACTAAGTTTACCAAAAGGGCAAAGCCCACCTTACAGAAAACCGCATGATCTCAAGAAGATGTGGAAGGTTGGAGTTTTAACAGCTGTAATCAAGCATATGTTACCTGATATTGCGAAAATTAAGAGGCATGTTCGCCAGTCGAAATGTTTACAGGACAAGATGACAGCTAAAGAGAGTGCAATTTGGTTGGCTGTCTTGAATCAAGAGGAGTCCTTTATTGAGCAGCCAAGCAGTGACAATGGCGCATCTAATGTCACTGAGATACCCCGAAAGGGTAACGCAGATAAGAGGAAACCTGTCATCAGCAGTGACAGTGACTATGATGTTGATGGTGTTGAGGATGGTTCAGGATCCGTGTCGTCTAAAGACAACAGAAGAAATCAAATTCAAGAAGGTGAACCAGCAAACATTGCCAGTGATGCATCTCATTCAGGGAGAGATAAAGACAAAGCAGAGAAACACCGCAGGAGGAAAAGACCGAGATTGAGATCAGAAAATGTTGACCAACAGGAACAACTAGAAGCTGAGCCAAGAAATATTTTACCCGACATGAATCATGTCAATGCTCCTCTGGTTGACTATAACATGAGCAACACTCACCTGGAAGGTGAATTAGAACCCAATATAGCCTTAGGGCTAGAGGAGAACGGTCTGGAAGGTCATCCTCAGCTGCCACAGTTCGATAACAGTTATTCTTATGTTCCACCTGCCAGTGAAATGCCTAGACAACCAATTATGTTTGTTGATGAAAGGCAAATGCTTTACACGGCATTGCCAACTCCCGAGCTGCAATATGGAACTGGTTATAACTTCTACAATCCTTCCATTGAGTTTGGGCATAATCAGGACGAAGGGGTGCAGACACACATAGAAATGAATCCATCTCATAGTAGGCTTGAGGCTTCAGAGGTTGAACCCCTTGAGCTGCACAGAAATGAGAATGATGCAACTGGAAGTGACTTGCCTCAGAACGGGAAAGAAACGTTTCAAACTGAACAAGAAAGACTCTTGGACAGCAACCTTCTATCTCCAATCAACAACTGGCCATTTGATTTCGACAACTTGGGTGCTGGATTTGAAGACTTTGGCATTGATGATTTTGGTCTGGACTACTTTGGAGCATAGTTTCTTACAATTTGGGACAGAGAAATATTTAAATGGTGAGTTTGGATTACTCCCTGTCTGTTCTTAACTCCCCAATAGTTTGTTTTGACGAAATATTCACTCATGGTTCTTGCCCAATATGCTTATATTTTAGGGATCAAAAGGACATGGGGTTATGCAACACTTGTGCTCTCTTAGTAGACATATTACAGTGTTCAGGTGGTTGTAAGGTTCCCTCTCTCTTTCCGTTTAACAATTGTCGTCTACCTCTGCTTTTCCGGATACTCTCAAGTCTCCAGTTTAAAGGAGAGGTGATGTCTTCTGTTCTGTATACTATTAACCTGTGAATAATCCGTCTGTAGGCAAAGCTTACCGTTTATAATAAAATGGTGGTGATTTCTTTTCTATCAGTTTGTGCCTCATTTTGCAGTATTGGTATTGGCTTTTTGGAAGATCCAATGTTAGTAGATTTCTTGGGTCCTAATGTTGTCTCGTGCACTTGTCTTAGATTCTAATGCTTTTTAGAATCTTCTTTCACGCACGTGTCTTATTACATCTTTGGTTTGCTTGAACCAAAGTCACTCCTCAAACTCTTCTCTCACGATGTTTTGTTACCGTTCCGTTGCCGTTTCATTTTCGCACTTCTTGAGATTCTTTGGAGCTTCAAGGTGTTACTTTGATACACGTATTTTTGTTTTTTTTAGCCCAAGAAACAAGTTCTTGAATTGAATGCCGCAATATGTAAAGAGCATATGATGTAACCATATTACTGCATAATCATATATAGAATCCATTCAATGTGATGCCAAACATACATAGAAAAAAGAGCTCGATTTCTTTTGACAAAGCAACTCACGAAGAAATAAAACAGTTTTTCATCCAACTCAAGGTGTTTATATTATTAATACAGATGAAAAAACTGAACAGAACGTTTCCTCCTTTTCAAGTGCTTTTGCCAGCTGCTTTGCCAAGGGACGTGAAGTTCAATCTGCAGAAAAAACGAAACAGCAACAAGAACACATTTTAAACTGAGTTCAAACAAAACCGCTGTCTTCGTCTTAAAACCATGATCGGATTCTAATCTCCAGTTCGCTTGCCTGATTATCGGCTTTCGCTGTTGAGCTGAAGCGCTATATGTAACATCTTGCTTTTGCGTCGCTACCAGCTCCGGAATCTACAATGGCAAAAAAAAAAAAACACGACAATGTAAGAATCCGACAGCTTAGATTCTTGGATTCGAGAATGAAACTGTAAAGCAAGGCCGGGACGATGTTCCACGAATCGGGAAATCAAGAGTTAGTAGAGTACCTCCTCAAGTTCTTCCACGGCCCCACCGGGAAATGATGAGGCATTTGAAGTACCAACTACACTGGTCGGAACTGCCTTTGAAGCATCTGCTTTTTGCTCATTCACTGTATTTTCAAAATCAAAAGCGTCTTCGAGCTCATCGGGTTCTTGACTGGAAGCTTGATGAGAAACACATGGACCAGAAGAAGAAGCGATCTTATCTATTGCCATGTTCTCAGGCGAATCCTTACTACGGGTTTCGGGTTTACATCCATTCATGACATAATCCTTCACAGGGCTTGAAGTGATGGAACCAACAGACATATTAGAGCTAACTTCCAATGGCGGTTGAACAGTGGAGTGTTTCAGATTCCTCGATTGATCATCGGGGTTCTCATCATCTGTCCGTTTTCTCTTCTTCCCGTCACCTGGGCTGTTAGAATCAGCCTTGCTTTCGGAACTTGCTTCTGTAACAGCAGCATTAGCAGAAGACATCATCCTATGTTCCAAACGACGTCTACTGTCCCATGTTCCTTTCGAGTTAAGCAAAGGACGGACCCCACCAGGAAACACAAAGTTAGGAATGTTCTTCCGCTTTACATGGCTGACGCTAATCTCCATCCCAGGACTCCACAAAGTGTAACTGTTAACAGCGTGCTTAAACTCCTCGACGGTCCGTCTTATATCAAACTGCTCACTTTCGTTCACTGGAACTCCTTGTTTCCGTTGCAGACCCATGAAATACGAGCAATGGAGCGGTTGGTTCGAGTCTTGAAAATTACCGGGATGTGGATGGCACTGAAGCATGTCATAAGTATGTCTTTCGATCTAGATTTTGAAAGCAAACAAGGGGCAAGCAAGGATTCGGCACTTAGATAAAAGATCAACTAGAAATAAACAAAGCACAGATCTAGTTGGAAAAAATTGGTAGAAGCTTTTGCAAAAAAGAAAATATGATTTTTAACCTTGAGTGTGAGCTGCCGAAGGCGTGACTCAACCCATCCTTTCCATTTCCTTAAATCATCGGTGTTTCCGGCAGAGATGTCAATCTGTAGATAATTCTTGTATGCTTCAAAGAAAGCAAAAGACTCGAAAAGGGTATCCCAATCAGCTTTGTTCTCTTCCATAGCCTATAAGTCAACAATCATCTTAGTAAGTTCGTCATAGATAAAGAAACTAAATTCAGTATTTGGACAAACATGCAATTTGGTGATCACAAAATAAAAGGACCAAACAAAATTTAACGAAAACATAAATGGACATGGGTGGCTAGGCGACTGTGATGTATCGATCAATCTGCAGAGAAGCCAAACAGCTAGGTTTATAGTTTCCTCAACTGTCACCCTATCTATATTACTTTCTGTATCTGTTTGATTAGACATGTCCATAAAAGGAAAATCAACATTAGCATAGCATCAACTGACTATCTAACCAGAAATATCAGATACCATAGTGTAGCAAAAGAACAGAACCAGAAAGCCCATTATACTCTCCACTGATATTGAATCATGATCACTACGGCATACAGGTGAATACTGTTGACATGCAAGCAGCAAGGACTTACAGTCAGTGACTAAGAGCAGGGAATATGACAGCTCTAGAGAAATGCTGGCAGACTAGAGCCGAAGTATAACGTTATATGCCTATGAGTTATTTAAACATGAATCAGCAAAGGTTGTCACTAGAATTTTGTCTCCTATGGTCCACGATCAGAATCTGCAGAGGTGAAGAAGTGCTAGGGCATTGACAAACAATCTTACCTCACATATTTCTTTGCCCCTTCGGAACTCCTCTGTCATAATCCGCAGAGTGCTTGAGGAGACATTGTAACTGGAGTTCATACATGGATAAGCGGGAGTGATTATGGGCATTAAATGCAACCGATCCTTTGGGTTTCTTCTAGGATCCCAAATTTGAAGCCCTAGAGGTCCTTCTTCAATAGCAGAAAGCATGACGGGATTAGGCCAACGCCACTGGGTAAAAACCCTAAAGAACCGAGACACCAACATGTTTGGAAGAGCATTAGGATAAAGCTGACATATCCGAGCTACAAGCAACGCCAAGTTTATACCACCAAGAAATCCAGAAACCTGCCAGTGTCATATAGAAGAGACCAACTTAGGAAACTGTGTAGAAACCAAAGGAAAAATGTAAAGAGCCAATGCGTCTAAGTGAGCTCTTTACATTTGAGTAAACTCCACGTCGCTTGCCCCAAAACCTCATACATCTCAATGTTGTCCGGAAGCTCTGCTCACAGTAAAAAAAATATAAATAAATATATACCCAGACCAAGCAAACCATAAAAAAGTAATCATAATAACTAAAACGTCAAGTGAAAGTGATGTATTTTCCATAAGCCAAAAACCTGAACGTTTGGAACCAGACGCAAGATCTGGTCTGTAACTCTGCAACCATTAAGGCTTCGAACTGTTTGTTCATCAGCATTCTGTAGAATAGAATCCTGTGAAACATCCAAATCCTGCACCATTACCATCATGCATCAACCAAAATTAGGACTCTAGATTTGGGATACAACCAATGGCAAACGATTCTTGAAGAGATATTAGCTTCCAAGATAACCCCCACTCTAATCCTCTTCCATTAGAAACAGGAACATTTCATAATGCCACATAGTCATAATCATTTCAATAAACTTAGTTCAAGGTACAGTACTCTATTTAATGTTAAATTACGATTTAAATCTTGTTTTCGCAATTAATCACTCATCCCTCTTTACCCAAAGCTCACCTCTGGAATAACCCAGAGAGAAAGTTGTGCATATAGGAGATCTATGGAAACTCCATTGAGTTTGAATCCCATCACAGGAACATGAGCATCAGGGACAGGATGCAGCTCAGTCACTTCAGGCATATCAGTTAGCATCCTTTGTAGTTCACCAAAGAAATCACCCTATTGGACACACATATGGAAGAACGTAAGAACTCATGAAACAATGGAAGAAATATCAATTCAACCTAAAGATGCAAGAGTTCGATCTTACATCTCTAGTTGCATGTCGAGGTCCAACCAATAGAGTGTCTATGTCAGCACCAGGTCCGTGTACCTATATGGACAAGAAAGTCGCATCAAAACAAATTGAAAGAAACAGACTGTTGCCAGAAAGCCATGGAATGGTTGGACAAAGGGAACTTGTGTAACAATAAATCTCAAATGCAGAAACGAAGTGCATTAAAATGAACATTGCAAGGCTGGAAACAAATTCTTGACACAAAGACTTAACACACTGAAGAAGATATTCAATCAATCTCGCTGAAAATATACACATAGATCAAATCATGAAATAGAAAAACAGGAATCACATACCAAGAAATGAGTGATATTACCAACACAGATTGATTGATTGATTAAAATTTTCCTGTGTAAACACTTTCTAAAATACAATCCTTGTGTCTCAGGGAGATCAACTAATGAGGACACTGCTTAATATGCTCATACAAGGATGTATCGGTTATATAAAAAAAATATCATATACATTACATGAGATGAGAACTGCCATACGCATTTCACTAGATGTGTTTATGTGGGAGAATCTTGCGTAGAGAGAACATGTCATGTCAGAAATCAAGATAAGGAAACCCTTGCAGCGACATAAGGATGACAAGAAGAACCAACAGATTTCACTAATTCTACATGCCCTCTTTTCATTGTATATCAAAGAATTCATAAAACAGGAAGAACGGCAAAAACAGAGTCTGTCTTCTAATCAGGACTTCGAACAAACTTAGATCTTAATCATTACCCCTAGGCGATAAGAACCAAAAGTAAATATCTTTGCATTCGCTTCCTGCATAAGCTGCTCATTCAACCCTTTGGCACGGCTGATCTTTTTAATCCATGTCTTCACAATCTGAACACATAAACAATGAATATCAATGCTCTGCTATACTCATCAAGAAGTTTAAACTCCCAAAATAAACTATTACCCTTAAACTGACAATAACATGCAATTTCTGATGAGAATAAGCTAAAACCTGATCAAGTTTCCCAAGAACTTCCTCCCTTCTAACAGCTTCCTCCTCACTTTCGTACAATCCGACATCTTGCAAGTACTGAAAACCACACCAATAACAAAGAAACATAGCAGAAATCATCAGTACATAACCTAGCAGCAACGTTAGTCACTAAGCCAAACTCGGAACATTTACAAACAAAGCAACCTTCTCGAGCTCTTGAGTCTTGATCACATCAACCTCTGTCGGTCCCCCCCAGGAAATAGGTTCTGTAATGCCATATCTCTGCCCGTTTTGCTGGACACTTGCCATAACTGTCGACTCAGTTCCCCCCCCCCCCTGTTCTTGTTTTTTTTCCCTCTTTTTTTTTCCTTCTTTCACTTCTTTTTTATTACGAAACAAAATTTCTAAAAAAAATTCCTTTTTTTCCACAGTGGTTCTTTGCCTGAATTATTACGAACAATAAAAATCGAAAATACGAAAAAAATTACTATCCGGAAATCATTAATCATACAGCGGCGGGATTTACATGAATCGAGGGTTTTTTTCTAAACCAGAAGAGCAGGAACAACATAAAGCATATGAAATTACACAAAATCAACCAACAATTCGATGCACGTTGCTCTTCTCCACAAAACCCTAACCCTAATCCGATGCCACAGATACAACAGCCCGAGTCGAGATGATGGTTGAATCTTCGCCAGGCGCACTCGCCCTTCGATGAACAGGCGTAGCTGGTGAAGGATTCCGACAGCTGCGGTCGATTTCGGACAACAAATGGCGAACGACAAATAGCTTCCGATCAAAATTTTGGGAGGATATTTTCTCCCAGGAAAAAAGAAAATCGAAGCCGAAGAAGAGAAAATTACCCAAAGGATAGCAATGAAGGAAACGAGAGATTTCAATGGTGGTCCTGAGAAATCTAGGTTTACGCGCTTCGAGGTTTGCGTTTCCTCTATCACGCGTATACACACATATAACTCCCCCCTAGAAATGGAAACTGAATAAACCCGGATTCAAGATCTGAAAATTGAAATGGGCTTCCGCTTGGTATTGGCCTTGGGCCAGCTCTTGGGAAGGACTAATTCACAAATAATGATATACCCGACTAACAATCCATAAATTAAAATCTAAAAAATAAAAGAGGGAGAAAGAAACATGAAAAGAGTGTTTTTATTCACAATGTCGAATGTAATTATGTAAATAACCGAAAATAAATATTAGGGGTGAAAATAAATTATGAAGATAGATTGGGGACTCATTTGTAAATAGTGAAACTTTGTGACTTCGAGGTTAAAGCGATGACTAGATTCTCATTTTCCGGGGAACCAAACGGAGAAAGAGAAAATAGCCGAGAGGTCTCAAGACGACTCGACGATTTCTGAGAAACGACGAATGAGCGAGAACGCAGTTTGTTCTACTGAAATGGAGAAATCAAGCCTTGAACCGATTCACAAGCGTGAAGCAGATCCGGATTCCGGGGAGGACTTGGTGTCGCCCGCGAAGAAATCCAAGAACACGGCGGAGACAGACTGTGGAGCGTCGAGTGAGAGTACGGAAGATTCCAAGCAACGGAGAAGTGGAGAAGACGAGCAACGGAAGAACTCCGGCGAACTCAATGGCGGCGAACCCGAACCCGCCGCCCGTGGTGGTGGCGATAGTAATAGATGTGCGCAGCAGGATAATCCGAGCTGTGGAACTGAAGTGGTGAAGGGATTCGACATCGAAGCTGATGTCGCTGAGGACAAAGGATCCAGGCATACAATGGAAGATGCTTGGGTTGTTCTGCCAGATGCTTCTTTGGATTTTCCTGGGAAACTCAGGTACCACTCTTTGTGATGAATAGCTATTGCCGTGATTTGTTGTATGGTTGACTCTTTTGGTTTGGGAACTTCTCTGGTTTATAGTTAAGTTTCGCTGTGTGGAGATTATGCAATTCTGTAGCAATCTAGGAATTGAAAATTTCTGCTGACTCCTCTTGTCTTGGGTAGAGATTTGTTCTTGACCAGAGATGAATCATGAATGGAGATGAAAGTTTTCGTCTTTTGCTTGAGCACAAACTATAATCTTGTATATTGCTGTCTTCTCATGTAGGTGCGCGCATTTTGCGATTTATGATGGGCATGGCGGTCGTTTAGCTGCAGATTTTGTTCAGAAGCATTTGCACCATAATGTTCTTTCAGCTGGATTACCACGTGAGTTGGTGTGTTTTGTTTGGTTCCAGTTTTATTTTTATTTCAGCTGGAGTTTTCGGATGCCAATCTGATGTCTTAGTGTCTATCCGTCCTCGTTCCTTTTTGTCAAAATGTTCTAATTGGTGCCTCAGCTGGACGTCAAAGCTGCTAAGAAGGCCATACTCGAAGGTATACATTCAAATCAGAGTTCATTTAAGTTTTGTAGTTGTTCCTTTATGTTTTCTCAGATCCAACTTGATTCTGAACCGCGACTGCATTTTGTTATGTCAGGTTTTCGGAAAGCTGACGAGTCGCTGCTTCAAGAAAGTGCTTCAGGTGATCTATCTGTGTAATTTCTTGTGATACGGTTTTTCTTAGAATCCATCTCTCATCTATTCAATGAAGATCTAAGACTGCAAAAAAGGATACACATTTGTCAGAGAATAAGGCTGGATTTCTTTAAGTTTCTTTTGTTGATTTCTTTGGCCATATAAGGAGCCAACCTAAAAAGGTTGACATCTTATATCTCATCGAGCAAGGGTCTCAATCATTGGTTTTGATTAACTTTCTTTTTCTTTGTTGTTGTTCTTTCACTACAATGGAGCTATTTACGTATTGTTCCTTTTTGTCTGCTTCATGTCCAAGTCCGTTAAAGTTTCTGCTAAGAATTCTTCCTGACTTTTCCATAGGAGGATGGCAAGATGGCGCCACAGCTGTTTGCGTCTGGATATTAGATCAAAAGGTATGCGTGGGACTTCTCTTGAAAAAGCTTAAAAATATTGCTCAGCCAGTGCTCACGGGACATTCTTCTCTTTGTGACCTAGAGAAAATCATGCAATGAATATAGGACTGCTTGTGTTAGGGGAAAACTGAACGAGAAATAATTTTTTGCAAGCAGATGGAATTTTCTGAATTCCTTCTTTCATATATAGCTTATCATAATGAGATTTAAACAAGAATAATGAAATGGAAATAGAATAAAAGCTACAGACAAAGATCTGTGAGTGGCTGTACAAAGATTTTAAAGTTACAACGAGTCATTGGGGTGGGGCAGATCGTCATTGGAATTGTTGAATACAACGAGTCTCATTCTACTTATACGTCATAAGAATTACCTGTTTACTTTCTTTTTCATCTGTGCATGCGTTTTAGGTTTTTATTGCCAACATCGGTGACGCTAAGGCTGTTGTGGCACGGTCCTCTACCACCAATGGATCAGACAGTCCCTCAAAAGAATCTAATTTTCTCAAGGCAATTCTTTTGACTCGAGAACACAAAGCTATTTTTCCACAGGAACGTACTCGCATTCAGAAGGTAGTCCATTTTACTATCCTAAATTGTGTGAAATGTACAAATTTGCCTTCTTTTTGTGACATGGCTGATTGGCTTGTATGGTGACTATAAAATCTGAGTACTATTATCTGTTAATATCTTGGTTTGGCATTCACAGGCTGGTGGTTCCATAAGCTCAAATGGACGGTTACAGGGCCGTCTTGAGGTTTCTAGGGCTTTCGGAGATCGCCAGTTCAAGAAGGTAAATGCTCTTTTAGCCTACACTATATATATTGAAACTATACAGTCCTAGATTTGAATTTTCTTTACTAAAATATTTCAACCCTTTTCATATCTTTTGATTTGTATTGACCTTTTAGCTTATGCATGACAAGTTCTACACCGTTGGAGTGTATCAGTTTCTCTACTTGCTTTTACTTTGACTGTTGTTTACATAATCTTTTCTAACATAAAACACAAACATGCACAAGAATCATAAAATAACTGGGGATGATTTTCTTTTTGGATCCTCCATCATAGAGTGTGATATATCTCGGTAGCTGTGTATCTATTACGTGTTCATGGTTTTTCATGCGTAGTTCTGTCTCTTACATATGTTATTACAATTCCCATATCTTCTTACTAAGAGTTCTCGTGCTCAGCTCGGTGTAATTGCAACTCCTGATATTCACTCATTCGATATAACCGAGAGAGAACTCTTCATGATTCTCGGTTGCGATGGCCTGTGGGGAGTAAGTCATCATTTTATTCTTTTCTAGTTCTGCAGTTCCTCTATCGATGAATCCAAGAAACTAAATCCATTGTTATCCCTTCAGGTATTTGGACCGAGCGATGCGGTTGAATTTGTTCAGAAACTATTGAAGGTACGAACCTAGACCCATCTCAATCCGCTTTCTCTGCACACAGTTATATATATATATATATATATATACATCTCAATCCGCTTTCTCTGCACACAGTTATATATATATATATATATATATATATATATATATATAATTGAAGAAGCATTGTGAAACTAGCAGGAGGGTTTAACAGTGAGCACGATAAGTCGGCGGCTGGTAAAAGAAGCGGTAAGAGAACGACGGTGCAAAGACAATTGCACGGCCATCGTTATCGTTTTCCGGCACAGATGATCCAAAACACTACAACCTTATTTATACCTTAAGTGTTGTTGTGTTCTTTCTACTACTAGTCTCTTCACTCTTGGTTAAGTGTCTGGTTTTCCCCTTTTGGGAAAAATTTCCCCTTTTTTTGTAAGATTATTACGTCATTAGACAATTGGTCGATCGAGTGATGAATGATCAATCTATTGGATTGCCTAATTTCTATTCCCGTCCCAATTGGGACTGCCCCATAAAATTCCCATCGTCATATATATATATGTGTGTGTGTGAATCGAATTGGATAATTTTTGTAAATTGGTGTTTTAAAAAAATTAGAACAATTGATGTATTTATTTGGTAATTTAAATTTTTGTGTATTTTTTCACATATATATGCATATTGTTTGTATACGAGTTTTTTTTTAACTGAGTTGGCATATATTAAATGTTTTTGTGCAGGTGTACTAAAAGGCAAACATGTCAATCTTGGAATCTATATGCCCCTTGCAGAATCTGTTACTTCAGATTTTGTCGGGAAGAAAACTATCAGATGGAAACCCCAAACTAATTTATGAACGGAACGTACACATGATTTTTTTTCCTGTTAAAAATGTAAAATATATATATATATATATAAATAAATAAATTTCGAAATAGCATGTAATGATAGATAGTATTCTACATCTAATCTGTATATATATAGTAGTCAACGATGATTTGAAACATGAGGCTCTCTGCAATTTTCTTCTTCCGAAAGAAAAAATGGAGGGACTGGAAGAAACGATGATTGTAGGAGACAAGAAGAAGAAGTGGACGGCGAGAGAGGAAGTGAAGAAGCAGACATGGCTGTCTGGTCCGTTGATCGGAGTGACTTTGCTTCAGTTCTGTCTCCAAATCATCTCCCTCATGTTCGTCGGCCATCTCGGCTCTCTCCTTCTCTCCTCCGCCTCCGTCGCCTCCTCCTTCGCCTCCGTCTCCGGCTTCACCCTCCTCGTCAGTCTCTCCCTCTCTCCCTCTCTCCCCTCCCTCTCATCTGTTATTTCATGGATTTTGGGGATTTTGAGCAGATGGGTATGGCGAGTGCGTTAGAGACGCTATGTGGCCAATCATATGGAGCCAAATTTTACGATGAGTTAGGGATACAGATGCAAAGAGCGATGATTGTTCTTCTCATACTCAGTGTTCCTCTCTCATTCATCTGGGCAAACACGACGCAGATCCTCCTGTTCTTCCGACAAGACGAATCCATCGCTAACCACGCCGGTTCCTACGCCTTGTTCATGATCCCGAGCCTCTTCCCCTTCGGTCTTCTTCAGTGCCTCAACAGGTTCTTACAGGCTCAGAACAATGTCATCCCTCTACTGTTTTGCTCTGGAATCACTACTCTCCTACACTTGATTCTCTGTTGGGTCTTGGTGTTGAAATCTGGTTTTGGGCTTAAGGGTGCTGCCATGGCGATTTCGGTTTCTTATTGGGTGAATGTCATTCTCCTGTCTTGTTATATCAAGTTCTCGTCGTCTTGCTCTCGGACTTGGACAGGTTTCTCTGCGGAGGCGTTACACGACATCCCTGCTTTCTTGAAGCTTGCTGTTCCTTCTGCACTTATGGTCTGGTAAGTCCACAGGTCGAATCTGTTCTTTGTTTTTTTTACGGTTACGTTTCTCTTCTTTCAATCTGAGAATTCGAGATGTTCTTTGATGCGTTTCAACAGCTTGGAGTTGTGGTCATTCGAGCTTCTGGTTCTTCTATCGGGCCTTCTCCCTAACCCAGTGTTGGAAACTTCTGTTCTTTCCATCTGGTAAGAAAAGTTATGATGGTTTTTTCGTTAAGCATTTCCACGGATCCTTCTCTCCTAAATCCCGCAAACTTTTTCCAGTCTGAATACCTCAATGGCTGTCTGGATGATCCCGGTTGGACTCAGTGGTACCACGAGGTCAGTAAATCGCTCAAAGCCTCGCCCTTTTCACTCATAACCGATTCAGATCGCCAAAATCATTTCCCAATCAAACAGTCTTCCTTCATTCCGAGCCCTGCAGCACAAGGGTATCGAACGAATTAGGAGCAGGAAATCCCGAGATGGCAAAGCAGGCAGTGCATGTGGCCATAACTATATTCATTTCAGAGGGCATCATAGTCTCGTCGGTTTTGTTACTCATACGAAACGTCTGGGGATATGCTTACAGCGACGAAACACAAGTCGTCGTTTATGTTGCAAAGTTGATGCCTTTCCTCGCCTTATCCACTTTCCTCGACGGCTTCCAGTGCATTCTCTCAGGTTTTTTCCACTTCTCACGAAAACCTTACTTGGCTTGCAAGTAAAGCGTCCACCATAACTAATGATGCCACTACCGTTCTGTCTGATCACTGTCGGTTTTGCAGGAGTGGCCAGAGGATGTGGATGGCAGAAGATTGGAGCGATAGTGAATCTTGGATCATATTATCTGGTCGGGCTTCCATCTGGATTGCTACTCGGATTCTTCTTCCATTTCGGCGGTCAGGTAAGACAACCATATTCTTTGTGATCTAATCTTTGGTTTATATGTGCATTTATGTATGTATGTATGCGTTTAGGGGCTTTGGTTGGGACTCATATGTGCTCTCATCGCTCAAGTTCTGTGTCTCTGTCTGGTCACGATACGCACCAATTGGTACGAAGAGGTAATTTTACTTCGATTTCAATCCCCAAATAAACTTGGGATTAAGGGGATGTTAGTGTCTTTTACAGATAATCTCAACAGTTCATACTCTGAATTCTGATGAGAAATATAACCTCTCTCTGTTTAGGCCAAGAAAGCTACAAACAGAGTTGGGTGTGCACTGACACAAGAAAGCTCTTGACAGTGAATGAATGAACCAATCCTCTGTCCAAAGGAACAAAGCTTTGATTTCGTTCTTCTTCCCATATAGATAGAAGATGGATGAATGCCATTTATCCACATCTTTTTGTGTTTGGTTTGGTTCAATGAAATCTACATTTTCATGGATACAATTGCATTCACCGGTGGGTTTTCCTCCAATAATAGGTTATTTGAAAAAATTTAGGATGAATCTAATCCAAATGCACAAATTTTGATTCGAGTTCCGAAATATCTAATCCAAGTCTGTTCGAAAAATGACCAAATTTCAAGCTTGGATTTGCAAGATTTTCTCTCTTCTTTATTACGGAGACAGAATCAAAATCTCACTATATTTTTTTTCCGCAGAAAACAATCGAGCTTTAAGACCGAGTTCAAATAAGATTTCGGATTTGGTCGAGTTTATCCCGGCTGTGTTTTTATATGGTCAATTGACGAATCGGTAGGCTAGTGTGTAGTTTCTCATTCGCAAACACTCAACCTACCGATTCATCAATTGACCATATAAAAGCACAGTCAGTCTTAACTCGACCAAGCCCGAATCACCATTTGAGCCTAGCCTGAAAACTCAAATTTGTTCAGGTCTACAAGTTCAAACCCGAGACTGATCATTTTTCTGGGCAGATTTCGAACTTCAGGCCAAAATTGACACCCTTCACAACATATACCGGGCGGAAGAAAAAATACTCAAGAGAAAGAAGAGAAGTATTTCCCATGGTACCAAAAGGGTATTTGTAATCTGAAAGAGCTAGTAACTTCGATTCTCATCCTTTTCATTTGTTCTGTTCAATCGTATATTCTCTGCTAACCTTTAGAATATAGAAGCCGCCAAATATGACTGACTACCCCTCTCTTAAAAGGAGATGAAGTTCAAACCTCCAAACTGTTGTAACCACAAACTCAAATTCTGGTGTCCGGGCCCTTGAGAATATGTCACCTGCCGTTCAGGAACCCAAATCCAGAAGAATCATTACACGAGAATCTGTCCTTCTGAGACAATTTCTTCGCTTACTGAGACTGTGTGTCAAAGACACTGCTACGTATCCTTACCTTCTATCACCACAAAAATCAGATTTAAGCGCTTCCTGGGAGATCGGTCACCTTCCCAACAGCAACTGTTTTCCCTGTATTACCCACAAAATTTCATCAGTCGTTCAAATAGGACGAAGAATCCACACTGAAGCATGGATCTATGCGCATATTTTTACCTTCGGTCCGTAGAGTAAATCTTCCAAGTTGTGGGAAATCCGAGAATTTTTCAACGCAGATTGTGTTGTTAACCTGCAAACACAGCAAACAGATAGCAGCTGTCAGGAATAATAAGGTAAGACACAGAAACTTAAAAGAAGAAGCAAAAGCTATTACGAATCCACAGTTTTCATATTTAATGAGAAAGAAGTTTAAAGCATAGATGGCAGTGCACATATAGAATTTATGACAGGAAACCAAGAGAAGGAACCAGACCTGTACACGGCACACAATTAAGGCACCGTTCTTCACAAACAGAACCTTCTTCTTCATGGGTTTCCTCGTCTTAGGATCGATTTGCTGCATTAGTTCAACTATCTCACATTCCTCAACAACAGAATGGATGTGCAAAATAGCCTTGTAACCAGCTGTGAAAATAGCCTACAGGACCAGCACAGAAATTAAGTTAACTTGTGGATATACTATGAAAGGGAGAAGAAAAGTTTTTTCACAAAAATTGTAAATATAAGCTAAAGGAAAAGTGAATAAGTTCTTTTGCAGAAAAGAACAAATAATTAGTACGGGGAAGTGTTTACATTGTCAACCAGCTCGAGGATCTGAAGTTGGGCAACAAACTCTGTGACAGCAGGAACGGGCCTTGCTGCAACAGAAAATAAAGATATCGTAAAATTAAGAAAGATAACATAGGAGAGACACAAATGCATTATGATCATATGCATATCGTAAGCATCATAGACTGCAATAAGTCGTTAGGAAGAAATGGAGAAACCCATAATTGACGCAGCACATAAAACATCATACTCATTACCCACCTGTACTGGATAAAACGAAACCAGAAAGGATGTCCTCTTCTTCGACACCAGAGAGACGGACCCTCAAGTTCTCACCAGGTCCTGCACTTCTAACTTTGTCCTCATCACAGTAAATAGCAATAACTTTGACTTGTTCCTACATTAGTTAGATGGAATTCCTTAGAAAATAAGCCGACAAACATTATGAAATCAATCAAAACGTATATAGAAAGGACCTTGTTTGGCATGACAATCATGGAATCACCCTCACGAACGCTACCAGATTCTACTTTTCCCATGACGACAGTTCCCATGTCTTTGAATTTATCAATTATCGGCATCCTACAAGTTATAAATCTCAGCTGAAATTAATACAGCCAGAGCACTCAACTAAAGCTAACACATGCCAAACTTGACAAGGACAAAATGAATGCATCAAGTAAGGCATAACAAATATACACCTGAATGGACCATTGGGATCTCGTGGAGGAATTTCAATAGAATCAAGGACTTCAAACAAGCAGGGGCCGCTCCACCAAGGACAAATGCTTTTCCCCATCTTTGTTTTCATGTTTATGCCCATTAAGCCAGATATAGGCAAGAAGATCACATCTTCAGAGTTCACACCAAAAAAAAATTAAGAATTATTATACAGATGACTCAGCATACAAGTCTATGTTACTAATAATAGTAATACTGGATGTCAACTACCCTTTTAACAAACAACAATCCTAAAGTTTCAGATTGCAAAACTCTAACAGCGTATCAACTGGATGATGATTAAACCTTGAGAAAAGTAAGAAAGACGAGAATACAGCTAAGAAAAAACAGAGAAAATCTGAAGCAGGAATCAAGGTAAACAAACTGGAGTCCTATTGGCAGGTTTGTCTAAGAAATGCTCTTTGATCAAAGTGAAGAAACTTCCCAATGAATTAGAAGTCAAAAAGCACAAGCAGACGCTAAAGTAGATCAAAATCTCCAAACCCCAAATAAGTTAATACAAGATCCATTGGCAGAACTCACATAAGTCTAATGACACATGTTGCAACGCTGAGCAATAATGCCATACTATTCATGACACAGTCTTCCATTTTATCACGTGATATGATAGGCATAGATCTTAGATCTGATCCCCGTTAATGCTTACCTTGCCTTTTCCACAAAAAAAAAAGTCTAAAAAGAAGTTTCTAGGGACGAAGGAACTTATAGTCGCATTAGAAAAGAACTTAATAAGTGTACCTTTCTTTGTGTTGTAGCCCGAGGATTTGAGAAATGGAACCATCTTCTGTTCAATTTCATCATACCTATCCAGAATAGAAAAATCAAGCATGTGATATGGAAAAAACGCAGACAATAGCAGTGATAAAGAGGATGAATGTAAGTACCTCTCTTTTGACCAGTTCACAGTTGGCTCATCCATCTTGTTCACAACAACAATCAGTTTAGACACGCCCAATGTTTTCGCAAGTTGGACATGTTCACGTGTCTGTCCCCCTCTCTCATAACCTGTTTCAAATTCACCCTTTCGTGCCGAAATGACCTATACGGGAAGGGTGAGTTAACAGCTTTGCTAAAAGAGGGTTAGATACAATAAATAACCACAATTATATAATTAATTAAATAACTAACCAGCACACCAATGTCTGCCTGAGATGCTCCGCTAATCATATTTGGGACATAACTCTTGTGACCCTAAAATCCAAAAAAGACAATCAGACTAACAGTGTCCAGCTCCATGCAATAAGCATACACCGCTAGACCGTAGAAACTAATTCCACCAACCTCCACCTTGATAAATGGTAGTTTTACAAAATGAAACACGAATGAATAAGAAACAATGATTGAGATCGATGCCTCACCGGTGCATCCAAAATGGTAAATCTGGTGTTCTCAGTTTCAAAGTAAGCCCTTCCCACTTCCACTGTTTTCCCCTGTCAAGTGTAAGTAAATGTATTATACCACCCAGTAAAACGTAATTTAACCACCAACCCTGCTGTGATTCCTGTTGTCAGGTGAACTACACCACTAAATCAGTTCATGCATGAGAAGCATCAAGGAAAGACATTCTCTGCGAAATAGAAAGAACGATGTTAACATTGCAACTTCACTCAAAACATGGGGAGTACCTTGACCCTCTCTTCTTCATTGGTATCCATAATATATGCCATATACCTAGAACATAAGACAATAACTAGGTTAACAAAACCAAACATGAACGCAATATATTAATGATGAAATCCAAACCAATCAGAATGGCTCACCAGCTTTCTCTACTTTTTTCTTTTGCCTCCCTCTCATACTTTTGAATCGTCCGATCATCAACCTGGCCACTGAGGAAGAGTATTTGCCCTCCAATAGTAGATTTTCCTGCATCTGGAATTGAAAAGAGGCTGCGTAAGGATCTAAAACAGAAGTGGCAATTACAAATTTGAAGTACAACAGACAAGTAAAGCTCATAACGAGGACTTTGAAAATCAAGTTACATAATCTCAGAAACCCTATAAATCAACATAAAAGAGGCGATTATCTTTTAACCAAACTCAACATGCCAAACTTAGAAAACCCTATAAATCAACATAAAAGAGGCTATTATCTTGCACAAAAAGAAAACATTATAGAGAAACAATCAAACCGACCATCATATAACATACCAACATGTCCAATGAACACAACATTCAAGTGTCTCTTTTGGTTTGCTTCTGCCTTATCCTCAGCTTCCTCTTGGGCAGCCTTCTCCTTAGCTAGACACAACCCAAAGATATCAGAATGGGAAAGAAACTTGCCAAAGTAACAACAAACGCCGACAACAGAAAAATTAAAAACAATAATATAGCTAATAATCCAGGAACCTTTTGACTGTGCATGATGAACTGGCAGCGCATTGTCACTATCAAGATCTCCGACATCTGAAACCAACAGAGACAAAAGAAATTCATGTAGTCAGCAGAATTGATCTGGAACGGACTAGATATTTCTTTTTAGAGAAGAGAAGATAAGCTTATCAATGAACCTCTAGGGTTATCAGGAACTGGCGCCAGATCTTCTTTCACTGCTTCTTGCAAATCTGTACACCAACAAAACGAATATAAAATCCTAGTAATCCCTAAGTCGATAGGTTTGCTTTGTGATTCTCCTACGGCACCAGCAACAGATAGAATGAAACTTCAAAACAGATAGGACAGAATTTGTGCTACTATTGAATATTGACCTTCTTCCACTCTCCTCAAGTTCTCAACTTCAATTGGCTTCGTATTTTCTGGATTCACAGATCCATTATTATCATCTGCATACATTAGGATAAACAACAAAACATAAGCCAGAATGAAAACAGCAAAAGAAATAGTCAGTTAAATCATCTTTTAATTACCTGCTGAATCGAGCTGTAATGCACTGATCTCCGCCTCAAGATCTACAGATTAACACCAGATTAGAGGACATGAATGCGCTAAGAAACCCAACAATTGAAGCTTCAAAAGACTATGACGCATAAATAGAACATTCACTATGTCACATTTTCAAGTGTTATTCATTTAATGTCACAATAACCAAATATTATGATGCCATAAACTTGCTATTATCAGAAATTGAATAAAGTGAAGCAACCATCACCAAACAAAATTTTTAAAAATGGTAGTCTCATTTTGTTTTAATGTTAAAAGAAACGACAGTGAGAATCAAGGTATGGCCGAATGGAAGTAAACATATTCAGGAAAAGGAAAAGGGGTTCTACCCAAGCTTGCACACCCCATCAGCTAGATTCCTTACAGTGTCCCAAAACACCAGTTCCTAGTCAAGGTAAATTACTGATAATCTACTTCAGCTTCGGATTAACTTCCACAACACAAATCGAGCGTTGTCATAACCAAGATTCTACCAGTTCACACAAGAAACTAAAGAAACAAGGAATCTAATCAATGCCCTACCCTCGCTGCCTGAGAACGGAATCTACACCAATTCCTACGCGCAAGCGTAAACAACACGATCATGCAACAAGCCCTTATCCGATTCCTAATTCCCACAAAATCACCGATGTAACACTAATCCCAATTTCAAGATTTTAACTTCGAAAACAACAAATCCAGAGGTAGCAAAATCGAGACACAGCAAACAAGAAACAAACAAGAAAATGGAAGAGAAATGCCGATCGATCGACAAAAAAACGGAACCGCAGAATCGACGAAAAGTAAGGACAAAAAGAAAATGAGAGAGAGCTCGGAAAACCCTACCCATGGCAAGATTGAGAAGAAGGGGAAGATTCTAGGTTTTCTAAAGAAGAGGATGCTGAAGAGCGAATGCCAACTTCTCAAGAGTCAAGACTACAATCTTTTCGAAGGTGGAGGTTTTATACTGTCTTTCATTTTTTTTAATCTAAAAAAATGTAAGAAAAAAAATAATACTGACCTTATTAAATTTCTAAGTTTTATTTTTCTTCACCAAATTTCTATTTTTTTATTTGGGTGATTTTATTCCCATATAATGTCCAAGTTTAAATATTTATATTTTGCAAAATAACAAAAACGGCTAGTTTCTTGTGTCAATTGTATTGTTTTTGGTAAATAACACAAAATAAATTAAATTAATATATTTTTGTAGTCAGCAACTAATGGTCAAGACAGAGTATAAAAACGGTGATTAAGCACGCAATGGGGCCTAACCCATCCCAAAAGCCCAAATAATATTCGTAATGCGATTCACGGCCCATTATTGGCCCAACTACTTGTCAGACGTTTTGATCTATGAGCGAGCGAACGCGAGCGACGTACTACCGATTTTATTGCCACGTCACATACTCAGACCTCATCGTGTTATTTTCAATAAATAAATTTCAAAATATTATACAAAATTCAGACTAATTTACTATTTAATTTTGAAATATCCGAATAAGAAAGGTAAAGAATTACGTTTATAAGTAAATTTTTCAACAAATTTTTTATCTAATTAATATTTTTAATATTAATACATTTTAGCAACTTTCACAACCTTTAGAATTGTGATTTGTGGGTAACTTGGGAAAATCTGAATATATATATATATATATATATGAACTGTATATCAGTAATATGGGGTAATTAAATTGATCATCAAGTTATGAAAAGTTAATTTTTGGTAAATATTCTAAGGAAACTAGCATACATTCAACATCTAGCTATAGGGTATACAACATTTGCTAAGAGTATTTCATTTCTATGAAACTATATATTATTGTTTTTATTTATTTACAACGTTAAACACGGAAATAATAATAATAATAATAATAATAATAATAATAATAATAATAATAATAATAATAATAATAATAATAATAATAACGTAATCTAGAGCTGCAAAACTAATTTAATATAAATGGAATCTGATTACAGAAAAATAAATCTAATCAGAAATGGTTACTGTAAGAAATCTAGGCTTAGATTCTCTTTAGTTTATAGTAATTTTACACATTTTTTTCCGAGTACATATGCTCGAATATAATTCCAAACATAGAATTAGAAATTATGATCGCTTTAAGGATTATGATATCACACCTAAAGGTTGTTGTGTGTGGTAAGATATTAATTTCAATCCGATTGGATTTTAGGAAAATATATTTAAGATTTGACATTAGTAGAACGACAAGTTTGGATCCACACACACAAAAAAAAAATGTGAATGTGAATAATGGTAGATAATGATAGAGTTTATTTATCACCGCCGCCGGTGTTTGAACGGTACGATTTGTGTATATAAATATTAAAATTTAAATATCTAACATAATTTTTTTAGTAAACATTTAATACTAAATATATATATATATAATCAATCTATTTTGTTTATGTGAAATTTCGATATATAACCTAAAACAACTAGTTAATTTGTCTATTATAAGCTTCTCACACGAACATTCATAAAACCTATGATTAAATGATATTATTTTGTCTTCAACTATACTTTCCACTAATTTAAATGCTGGCCCGTCTAACAGAGTTAGGGTTAACAAAATTATTGGTCGGCGGAATACATTTTCAAATTTTAAATTATTGGTAAAATAATAATAATAATAATAATAATAATAATAATGGAGCACAAAATCCAAGGTGGAAGCATGTGACGTGTTGGAAGAGGAGTCAGAAGACAGGGAATCTAACACTAAACAATGTCAGGCTCTCTTCAGACCCACCACCCACCCACCATTTCTTTTTCATTTATCACACCTCCTCTCTTTTTTTTTATTTTTAAATAGTTCCAACTTTATAAATTACTATATAGTAATAATAATTATTATTATATTTTACGTGATTAATGCCAGATCTAAACATTTCCTCAAAGAGAGACTCGTTTTCCTTGGGCAATTTAATTATAATAACTAATTCTAACGGTTCTATTCCTATATGATTTTATTTTGTCAAATGGGTTTTCTAATGGTGAAACAATTAGTTTTCCAATGAATTAAAACAATTATAATCATAAAAAAATTATAGGCATTTTATTCATATATAAATACATATAAACACATTTTGTAAGCAATTTGAGTTATATATTCACCCAGCATATATATGAATTTCAGTATAAATGATTTATTGACAATTATGCAATATTGTATATATTAACAAATATATATATATATATATATGTATATATCACACCCATTATTTTCCACTCAGAAAAAAGCTAGCTTTTTTTTTTTCAAAAGAAATTAAATTATTCCCGTCCAGGGGCAGGTGGTGGGGAAAGTCATCTATTTATGCTTAGGGTTTTATTAGGGATACATGTAGACTCTTCTTCTTTCATTCATCTTCTTCTTTCATCTGTTGTCTGAACTCGCTTTCTCTGCAGCTCTTATCGCAAAAGCATCCGTTTCTTTCTGAACTTTGTGGTGCAAAAATCATTTCCATTTCCATTTATGTTCTTATTTTCTTGGTAATTTGATCTTTTGAAACGGATCTGTATTCTTTCTTCGCATTGCAACACGGTTTTCTTTGATTTCCACAGCTTCTTCTTCTTCTTCTTCTTCTTTTCTTTACTTGATTCTCTATGTGGGGTTTTCCCCTCTTTGTTTCAAGACATGTCGGGTAATGATTCTGCTTCTTTTTTCTTTGTTTCAATTTCTAAGCCAGTGATGAGGCAGATCTGGATCTTGATCTATGCAAGATCCATCTTTGTTGGGTTTTTAGGGTTGTTCTCTTTTTTTTTCTGTAAGGATCTCTTGTGTTATGGCTTTTTTTGTTGTTTCTTCTTCGTCTCCATGAATCTTGTTTGCCCTAGAAGAACTTGTGTGTTGGTTTCTATGTTTTGTATGGTTAAATGTTTTAGATTTCTTGAATAACTAGTTTTAAAATATCTGCAAGCCTGAAACATGTGGTTTAGGTTTCATGCTGTACATATCTATGCATACATACATACATACATACATATGTATATATAAATAGAGAGAGAGAGAGATTTCTTGTGCACATATAAACTTTGTTATAGATTTCCCTGAGCTCTTGTATGGGTTTTAAGATCTCTCTCTCTCACGCATACACACGCATGTGAACCTCTAAGCAAGTGTGTTTGTATATCCAGTTATATACTTGTATACATATATCATATATGTGTGTATATGTATGTGAGAATCTGTGAAGAACGCATGAACTAGGGTGATTGTTGTAATAGTTTTTGGATTAAGATATAGAGCAAGAAGAAGATGGCCTGTAGAAGATGAAGAAGAGGAAGTAGAGCTCCTTGAAGTCCAAATGAGGATTTGGCGGGGTCAAACAAAGCTGCTAAGCTATGGATCCCATAAGCCCTAACCTTCACGCACACATGTATCGTTATATATGTAGCAGGAGGTGGAGGAAGAAGAAAGAAAGGATAGGCTTATGGTTTGCATATCTCAGGAGCTTTGATTTGCCCTTCATTGCTTCATCCTTCTTTGGATTGAAGGGAGCTCTATCTCTCTCTCTCTCTCTCTCTCTCTCTCTCTCTCTCTCTCCCTCTCTCTCTCTCTCTCTCTTATTGTTTTTTTTTTACAATATTGACATGTTTGTCCTATGGTTAGTTGGGGGGAGATCTCATCTTGTAACTTTGTAATTTCTTCTTCTAACCAATTTTTTTTAAATTTTGTTATAAAATGTATCGAAATCTTCGAATTTCCTCCACCCACGTAGTGTGTTGGTAAGAATAAAGTTTTATTCCAATCTTTTTGAATATTTTTAGGTTCCAAGAAAGTCGGTCCAACCATCAAGAAGAAGAATGCATCGTTTAATTCAAAACGCTTTACTTCATGTTTTAGTTAAACTTAAAAACTAATTAGAAATTAAACACTGTTCTTTTTTGTTTTACCGTAATTCAATTTTTTTAAAATATTGAATATAAATCAATCTAACAAGTGAATGATCCCTATATTTAAACATTCAGACTGATCTAGTAAAAATAAAGCGTTAAACCAAAACCTATATATATAAATAATTGAGTTTGAAGGGTTGTGGTCATCATCTATGTGGTAATTCTTTTTAAATTTTTATTAGCATTTACCATGAAAAATATGTTTTTATTAAATAGTTAAAGATATAATAATAAAAATTAGTTAAAAAACCCATTATTATTATTATTATTATTATTATTATATTTTAAAATATAAAAAATTTATCTTTAGTTTATATGCTAATAATTAGTATTATATATATATATTGATCATTTTATCACTAATTTTTACACATGAAAAATATATCTTTGAGAAATTAAAATATTCATTAGTTATATATATTGATTAGATTAGCACTTAATTTTATACATGGAATATATGTTTTTTAAAAATTACTTACACGATATAATAATAAAAATTAGTAATAGGTTATTATAATTTCAAAATAAAAAAAATAAAACCAAAATATGTGGCCAAACGTATTTACTAGATGAAAAAAAAACGGTGGTATGGTCATTAGTGCACAACACTTATTATTGAAATAAATAAAATTTATTCAAAAAACGATAGATTAGTCCAACTAAAAAAAACGCCAAAAACATTAGATAACAATTATTATCCACTCTTTTTCTTAGCATTAGTTGACAATTTAATTACAATTCAGTATATATGATGTGTGTGGAAAAGGAACTTGGTACTCCAATTTTTTTTGGTTGTTTCGTTCGATGACCGGGTAATATCCTAAATTGCTGTCTCATCAGACGATTTCCGGGGAAGGAGAAGATGAAGCTATACTCTTACTAGGGATGTCAATTAAACCCGAAGTCGAAATCCGATCCGAGCCCATCCGAAAAAAATAAGGACATAGACCTAATAATATAGATCCGATAAATAAATAGGCGGGTCGGACCGGCCCAATCCAAAAAAATTGAGAACCGATACCCATCCGACCCGCCCATTTAGCCCGAAACATATCGAATAATTAGATTTTTATTCTCATATAACATAAAAAATCTTTTATTTATGTTATATATTTATTTATTTGATGGGTTTAATTAATATATATACTAAAATTATATATTATTTTATTTTTAAAATCATATATATATATATATATATATATTACCGACTATTTTGACAAGATTTTGATGTAATTTATATGTATAATGTTTTATGAATTTAATTTTAAATTTATATCAATATTTTTTATACCAAATATATATTATATATATTAAAAAATATTAGAAAAATTTGTATATTTTAAAGTTTATATGGTTATTTTTTAATTTAAAAGTTTTTAATTGTAGTCGAGGACTCAAGGTCGATAAAAAAACAATTTTTTGTTTTAATATATTATTAACAGACGTAGTGTTAGATAATTGATCAATTGAATAATTTTTTTAATTTTTTTTTATTTCGTTGAATGTTTATATTATTATTATTATTAGTATTATTATTATTATTATTTATTATCATTATTATTATTATCACAAAAAAATATTTTTATTTAATAAAAAAATCCGACGTCCTGTAAAGCCGGCTCCGGGCCATCAATGATAGACCAGAAGAATAAATGGGCCAGTTCGACCCGAAAAAATCTAGATCCGAATTGAACCCGTCTCGAACCCGGTCTGACCCGTCTATTTTACACCCCTAACTCTTACTGGAGAAGCTCATGCGTCCATAGCTTTCGAATCGCTCTCAATTTCAAAGGTTTTCGTTTTAAATTTCGACTTCTATCACGTATAAAAACCCAAAATTTTCCATCTTTTTTGGATCAATTTTGTCATTATTTTTGGTGAATTTCAGGATTTGCTTATGAGTATATTCTATTGAATTTGCTCATAACAACACAACCCAGTTTCGTAGTTTCGATCGGTCTGTTCTTATATATAAGAATGAAATAATATTTAAATTATTTCTTTATATATATATATATATATATATATATATAACGCGACAAAAAAATCTTTTTATATTAACAATAAAAATAGAATAATTTGATTCCATTTCAGGTATATATATAACATTATGGTCCCAATCAATTTTATTTTTAGATGGAATAATTTGAAACTGTAAAAAAAAATCGTAACAAAAAACAAAATATCCACAATATATAATCTAATGTCTTAGCGATACGAAGGATAGATTTTTCTTTCCTTTATTTTAAGTTTGATTATTTTATAATTTATACTAAGTATTATTTTATTAGAGAACTGATTGGCTCTACTCACTATATGCTGAAACTTCTGAAAAAAAGTTTTTACTTGTAGCTGTTCATACTATTTTGATGGAAGAAATTAGAGAATTTTATAAAAACACGTATTTCCTCTATTTCAGCTCGGGTATAAATATCTGGACTCAATCAAATAATTCAATATTATATTCGAATTTTATGCTATAAAAATCAATGAGATTTTATTTTTAAAACGAAAATTAATTAAACGTAAAATAGATATAATAATAAGAATCTATAATTCTAATGGATTTAAAAAATAGTTTTAAAAATAAAAATATTGTAAATGACAATCGAATTCAATTGAATTTAAAAGACTGATATAAACATCAAATAACAATAATTTTGTTTAATCTAAAACAAAGATAAACGGACTCAATTTAAAGGCCCAACACTATCAATTTGTAGTTTAGTTATATGGGCCTTGTAATAAAGCCCAACCTATCGGCCGAATTGAAACGAACCCTAATCTGAACTTCTTTCCGTATAAATTCTTCTTGCTCTCGTCCGCATCTTCCCATTTCGTCCGCAGCCTCCCCGACGAATCTGAAACCCTAGTTTTCGGAGCTTCTCCAAACCCTAACAATGGCGGAAGGTCTCGTTCTCAAGGGCACGATGCGTGCACACACCGATGAGGTCACCGCCATCGCCACGCCTATCGATAACGCCGACATCATCGTTTCCTCATCCCGTGACAAGTCAATCGTTCTCTGGAAACTCACCAAGGACGAAAAAGCCTACGGTGTTCCTCAGAGGCGTCTCACAGGACACTCTCACTTTGTCCAGGACGTTGTTCTCTCCTCCGATGGCCAATTCGCGCTTTCCGGAAGTTGGGACGGCGAGCTTCGCCTCTGGGATCTCGCCACTGGTACCTCCACCCGCCGTTTCGTCGGACACACCAAGGACGTCATATCCGTCGCGTTCTCCATCGACAACCGTCAGATCGTATCAGCGTCGCGCGACCGTTCGATCAAACTATGGAACACCCTCGGGGAGTGCAAGTACACGATCGCTGAGGGAGCTGGCGAGGGACATCGTGACTGGGTGAGCTGTGTCAGGTTCAGTCCGAACACGCTTCAGCCCACCATTGTCTCGGCATCGTGGGACAAGACCGTGAAGGTCTGGAACCTCTTGAACTGCAAGCTCCGTTCGACCCTTGTCGGACACACTGGGTATGTCAGCACGGTGGCTGTATCGCCGGATGGTTCCCTCTGCGCAAGTGGAGGCAAAGACGGTGTGATCCTGCTTTGGGACTTAGCCGAAGGGAAGAAGCTGTACTCGCTTGAAGCTGGTGCTGTGATCCACGCGCTCTGCTTCAGCCCGAACAGGTACTGGCTCTGTGCTGCGACCGAGCAGAGCATTAAGATCTGGGATCTTGAGAGCAAGAGCATTGTCGAGGACTTGAAGGTTGATCTCAAGGCTGAAGCAGAGAAGTCCGATGGAGCTGGTGCCACAGCCAACAAGAAGAAGGTAATATGCAAGCATCTGAATTTTGGGAAATGCGTGATAAATTTGATGCCAAGCTCTGTTCTTTTCCCATGTTGATTGTTACATATTTGGTTTTGGTTCATAAAACTCATTGCATTTACATCAGTGATGATAGTTTGATCAATAATTCTGGTTTCTGCGGAGTTTATGCTGAGTCCTGGTGAGAATGCGTGCATATTGGGTTTTTAGGGTGGAATGTTGAGTCAAATCATGGTTTTGGTTCAGTTTAGATGGTAGACTCATTCTCCGCATATACGTGTATACATAGTTGCAGTCATTATCATCCTTGTTTTGTGATTACTAAGTAGTAACTTTTGTTCTGCTTGATCATTTGGGTTTCTTTCTGTATCTTGTCTGTCTTGAAATGAATACTGTGGTCGGGTGATTTATATAGTATTCAAATTCTGTAATTGCTGCTCAATATTTTCATGATCGGATGATTCATCTATGATTCAAGTTATGCAGTCGTTGCTCAATCTGTTCATGTGTGTAATTGTGAAAAAAGAAGTTTTTCTCATTTGAGTTAGCTAGGAGTCAAAGCCAGCATGATCAGTGATGCTTCATTCTCTTGGTGAATAATGGTTCACATATACTGATCTCGATTTCGCATGGACAGGTTATCTACTGCACAAGCCTGAACTGGAGCGCAGACGGGAACACCCTGTTCAGTGGTTACACCGATGGCGTTATCCGAGTTTGGGGCATCGGCCGTTACTAGGATTCCGTTTAGTAATATCTCGTCTTCACTGCCTTTCCCTCCTTTTGTTTTGTTTTTGGCTGTTTTGAGAATCTGGTAAGCATCTCATCTATTACAGATTTTGTTGGTCTTGGTCTTACATTTGTAGTCTTCTTCTATTTTAGTTTTGTGTTTGGTTTTGGTTTTGGTTTTGGTTTTCTATTTAGACTTAGGTTCATGCGTCTAGTTTTATGGTTTGGTACCGTACAACCATATATCAGATGATCTTTTATTGAATAATGGAGCATTAGAGGATTCTCGGGTTATATCAAAATGGTCAGATATTTGAGATATTGGTTTAAATTATTATAGCTTAAGTATCTTCCATTTCATGTTAAATCTAGGGTTTTGTTTATGAAAACATTATCGAGATCTTTAAATGAGCTCCTAAAGGGGGCAATGTTGGACTTGATTTTATTGATATATATATATATGTTTTTAAATGTACGTATGTATGTACTTGCATGTTGGGGCAAGGAATTAACACAAATCTCTTTTCATTAATAAATATGTGAAAAGAGTTCAGCACAACGCATAGGGCACGAGACCTACATACTCCTAAACTCCCAAGCCACCGAACAACACATGCAATACAGCTGCGTATATATAAGCAAAACGCGTAGCTGTATATATGTATACACGTATGCTCATATATATATATATATAGATAGAACTATATAAGCCCACATATACCTAAACAAAAATGTGGTATGTCATATAAAACCACATTTTTTTCACACGGCCACATGTATATATATATATTTAGGGTGTGGGGTCGAGTCACACGAGGGACGTTTCTGTTTGTGTTGTTGTAATAGTACTTTAGCGTCTCCGTGAAGCAGGCTCCTTCTGGGCGTTGAAGTAGACGGTGGCCACAGGAAGGCCGAGGCCGAGGTGGCTGGCGAACATTCGAGTGCTGAAATTGGCCCTCGACGGTGGCTGCTGCATCCCCCCCACCGCCGTTTTCTGCCGGAAAAGCACCGTTATGTATCGGTGTATCCCCACCGTTGGCCTCGGCTCCATGTACGGCAGTATCTCTATCCCTGCAAAACAAAAATATTAAAATAAGAACCGTGTGTACTGTTTATTCAAGAATCTAAATTTCCTAATTATTAATTATGTTGAAAATAATAATAATAATAATAATAAAATTGCGTATTTTAATACGAATTAAAAACAATCTCACTAACTATAATTTTTTCAAAAAAAAATACAGAAATTCTTTTTAACTTTTAAATGGTTTTCCGCGATTTTTTTCATCATTTTGAATGTTTATGGTTTAATTTTATGTCGATTTTTGAAATCGTAAAAAGAAGTTTAGGATTTAAGCAGATTTTTTTTATATATATAAATTCGTACTATTTAAAAAAAATATATGTGGGGTTTGTGGTTTTAAACATTGTTCTGTTCCCACCCGGAAAGGGTCCCTTTTGTGGATGCAAAACTCTCTCAGACGGAACAATGACGTTGTTTTACTAAAATGGATCTAAGTCGTGTTACTTGTGATGGTGTCGTGTCCTAAACATGACACGTGTTCATTGATGACGTCATGCAAATGTAAACACATTGAAGTGTTGACCCTAGCAGAAACCTCGTGTCAGCGTCACCGTGGTGAAAATCTTATACCTCTTCGAGAGAACGAGGATTCGTAAATGCACCAACGTATATTTTACATACATATATATATATATATATATATATATATATATATATATATTGTAGTGGAGCCCCGCACTGTGTAATCACCAATACAAACAAAAAAAAAAAAGACTATTGAAGTGTATCGTGCATGATCATGGTTGACTAACGTATCTATTAATTATTGGATTATTGTTTAATGGAAACACGATGGTCCAAAATCAAATCACCCTTCCATGCAAATATAAATATATACACACTCGCACTTAATTGCTTTTAAGAAATTACTCATTTTCTGATACACAAAAATATATATATACGTGTGTATATATATATATATATTATAGGATTGTTACCTCGTGTCGGGTTAGTTCCTCCGGGAATATCCACGACTATCCTGCAAAAAAGAGAGAAAAAATCTTGAATTTAAATAAATACGTATACGTATAGTATATACCCGTAATGTTTTGCCAAAAAATATATATGTACGTATATGTGTATGCCAAAATAATTTACAAAAACAGTACATTAAGTGGCCGTGATTAATTGTAATATCGTGCAATTGCATGTGTCATGCACTCACCAATGGACCCATTCTCTCAAACTCGGTTCGCTTGGGCTAGGCGCATCCGGATCTGTCATCACCTGCACGCACGCACGAATTAAACCAATAAGATTTTGACATGTCAGCAGCGATCTTGTAGCACTGATTAAACATTATTATATTCATGTGTATGTATATGAGTATATACACACAGACACACATGTACTAGTAACTGCGTCTTAATTCGTCGACCGTCATCCATTCATATACCGGCAATATAATTAATATAAAAAAAATGTGTACATTACATGTGCTTATGTGTTGATCGATACATGCAATCTCGTTCTTCAACAGATCGTTTTATATCTATAGATCCAATGACATGAATTATATATGCATGCATAATATATAAGATCACACGATCATATCATTTATAACATAGTCATCATCAGATAAAATTAGTAACGGGCTTCAACCCCTCTTATATATTTGCGTCGAGAGATCCATGCATCAATCGTATACATAAAGTTGAAAAAAAAAAAGAAATAATGATGGCGATGTTACATAACATATAGACACAAACATGTATACATATGCATGAGAGCGAGTGTATGTATATATATACATACGAGGGTGTAGAGGTCGTGGGAGAGGCCGGAGATGGTGAGCTTGGGAGGGCTGGCAGCGAGGGAGGGTTTGATCTCGCAGCCGTTGGTGATGTGCTTAGGGCCGTAGTAAACCGACATGTTCGCCGTCGGCACGAACATGTCCACCACATCTCCTATCACTCTCCCCACCACCAGTGGATCCACGGAAGCCGCCATCGCCACAGAGAGAGAGAGAGAGAGAGAGAGAGAGAGAGATTCTCTGCTGGTTTAATTAAAGAGATGTTTTGTTGGTTTTGCCTTGTCGATGATCTTGGGGTGAAGGGAGCTAGGTAAAGGTTTATATAGCAAGAAAAATGTGTAAATTTAATATCAGCAGTGTGTCTGTGTATATTTTAATTTGACCAATTAATAGTTGACGGCTATATCATTATGTTTATTTTATTTTTCTATTGTTTTGTCTCATTTGATTTTTTTTTCTTTTTATTTTGTGAAGAATTAGAGATTTGCTTTTTTTACATTTTCGGCCATGTAGATAAAAAAAAATGAAAACAAGGCTGCAATCATTTACCTATTTTTGAGACATGTGTAATTATGTATAATGCTCAACATTAGTATAATTGTTATCCACATTTTCTGGTCTATTGCAGTATGATAGATAATGATAAAAATAGGATATATATATATATATATATATATTTAATATAATATGATTAGTTGTTAATTATATCGATTTCGAAACCCTAACACAGAATTATCTTAATTATTATGTTTTTTCTGCATGATATTGAATAAAGAACTAAAAAATTCTAATCCGAATATTTGTTGAACAAAGACTGAAGTAAAAACGATTACAGATTTTTTTGGTTGTATCTTGAAAAACTAAATAAATGATATATTTATATTAGAATACGATAGTTAATCGAAAGATTCATAAATTATATTATTGATTCAATTTTAAAATATATAATGAAATGAAAGAACCAAAAACACGTATGCATAATATATAAATAAAGTATCAAGATGATTAATTTGAATATGTAATGAATAACGAGTGATGAAATAAACACACTATCGATTTTTATTTTTTTGTATTATTTTGGAAAATACAAATGACTTCCATACGCTAACTATATAGATAAAATCGATACCGCATAATAATATAAATATAGTTTCAGAAAACTAAAGTAAAAATATGTATTTAAATATGCAGTAATTTTTGGCAAAAAAAAGTTATTTTTATATAAAAGGATCTTATATATATCACCATCTCCATTAAAAAAAAAATCTATTGATAAATCTTGAAATGGTACTTACATACAAAGATCCTTTAATTACTTATATCTTTTTTTGCATAAAAAATATATATTTTTTGTTTGGATATCGTTGTTTGTCTTCAAGGGATAGTGGAGAAGAAACAGGGGAAAAGGTTAAAAAAGACTTTGGTCGGATTAGTGTAACATAGAGGCCATGCACAGGGCGTTGTAAAGTCGATCGCAGCCAAACCCTAGACACGTGTCGCCTTATCGTCTATGGAGAACCCACGATCCCCTTCACTTCGCGTGCCACGTGTCTAGATTCCTGCCGTCAGTTACGAGGATCGTCGCCTTACACGTGTGAGATCTTCGTTGAAATTATAAATTGATTAATTAATGTCATATGTATGTATGTATGTATGTATGTATGTATGTATGTATGTATGTATGTATGTATGTATGTATGGGTCACCTAATAATTGAATAATATTAAGATTTAATTTAAAAAACAAAGATGTATGTATGTATGTATGTATGTATGGTCATATGTATGTATGTATGTATGTATGTATGTATGTATGTATGTATGTATGTATGTATGTATGTATGTATGTATGTATGTATGTATGTATGTATGTATGTATGTATAGGTCACCTAATAATTGAATAATATTAAGATTTAATTTAAAAAACAAAGAAAAAGATCAATTTGTAATGCGAAATGACTCAGGCATCCGAGCAAGACTTATCTTTTTTTTTTCTTGTGGAATTTTAAAATTTTATACGTTCGTGAATCTAAATTATGGAACAAAAGTGACACAAAAATTTTATATTAAAAGATACATATTATGGCGATTTGATTTATACGTTTCTGTCCACAAACTACCGAATATTAAAATATATATTTAATTAGAATATGATGAACACAATAATTATGGTTTATAAACTTTAAGAGTATGGGATTTATACACAATAATATCTATTCAATTTTCCAAAAAAATCGAGATAACAAAATTTGAAGGATTAACACATGAATTTGTACCGATTTTAATGAACGAACAAACAAAGAATTTATATCGGTTATTTATGCACTAATACAGAGCCACCAGTTGATTATATAAATAAAGAATCATAAAATTACAAGAGAACCGCAGTTTTGTTTTTATTCTCTTTTTTTACCCCAAACTATTTGTTATAACAACAAAACCCAATAGAATTACCAAGCAACGAAAAATGAGGGCGTGAAAAATTGAGAAGGTGGGTTGCTTCTATAAACTCTGTATAGATAAACATTACAGAAATGGAACACAAAAAATTCACAGAACATAAATTAAGAATGATGAAGAGATGCAATTTTCTCAGCAACCTCGGCCACTGTCTCATCTTGTTCTTCGGCTATGGCTTCCTGAAATAGACAAAAAATCCCAGAAAATCTGGGTTGTAAGAACAGTACAGTCGGCTAATATAAAACTCTATTTCTGGTTTTGAACAAAAACTTCAAGAAAATCACTTGATATTAACTGAAGGAGAGTTTGATATTCTGATAGAATCTCTGTTTATGTAAGAATTCAGCAAATCCAATCTCGGGGTTCATGTGAGAAATCTTGGTTTACTTACATCAATGTCGGTTTTAGATTGAACCCCCACACATCTGGAACCACTGATGCTTGCGCTCTTCATCAGGTTACGAGCACTATACCCTCCTCCATTGTCCGCATCCTCGGGATTCTCTGCCCCTTTCGGGCTATCGAGCGTCGAAGCAACAGCAGCTGCCGCTCTTCTCTCCACCTCACTGCTTTCTTCGGCA